TTCGGCAGCTGAGATGAAACCGTTTTGATCCTTGTTGAACACGCGAAAGGCTTCCTTGAGCTCCTCCTCAGAGTCGATGTCCTTCATCTTGCGAGCCATCAGGTAAAGGAATTCAGGGAAATCAATAGTTCCATTGCCATATGTATCAACCTCGTTGATCATGTCATGTAGCTTTGCTTCGGTGTGGTTATGACCCAGAGATCTCATCACAGTTTCGAGCTCCTTAGTGGTAATTCAAACGTCTCCGTCCTTATCGAAGAGGCTGAAAGCCTCCTTGAACTAGGACATCCGATCGTCTATAAGCTAATCTGCCATATCAACTCCCACCGATTTTTTTTTTTTTAAAGCAATGAAAAAGAAAAAATATGAGCGACTATGTGGTCTGTGCCCTCGCCTATCGTTGCTACTACTATGACGAAGTGAATTGGCGATTGTAGGACTTTGGACATACATGGATAAATGGAGTCACTCCCACACCCAAACTTCCATTACATACAGAAATTAAAATGATCGATGACTATATATAAATACAAAAAGAAGATAATATAACTATAAAAGAGGGGAATACATTCATTGTTGGGCACGGTTCGTCTTTTAATCGCGATTTTATCTTCCAGCATTTATTTATTGTGAATGTTAGATATATGAAGGGTTAATGAAAACGGACGGGAATGCCGGAATTGGAACAAATCCCGATTGTATTTTGGGCGAGTTTGATATTTCGCCTTCCACCGATCTGTCTTAGTGCGAATAGACTAAGGATGGGGAACCGGAATACGAAATGTTATAATAGAATTATATAAATAAATAGATATAGGGATGATGAACGATTTTAGTAGAAGTTCAAGAGGCTAAAATAAACCTTTCTGATAAAACGGCAGAGAGAAAAAGTTCAGGGCAAGCGAGACTAATGAGCATTAATTTTTATATTTATTTTATATTTTTAGATTTAGTAATTAATTAAAATAGAATGAATGGACGAGATAATTTAAGAAAAAATAAAATGGATGGTCAAGATCTCATGTGGAAGGAAACTCAAGCCCCTTTTATAATAGTAGTATATATATAATATAGATGTAGTTTATCTTGATTTGTTAGTTGGGTGTTTGGCTACTAAATAAGAGGTCAGATTCAAGTTTTATATATTTGATGTGTGATTGAATTTGACTTAATTAGTCTAAAACTCTAAATATCCAAAAAAATAAAAAAAAAATAAAAAACATTGGAGGTTAGATTCATATAAAAAATTTGCTCAATTTTGGATTTGGATAGATTTTGGGTAAAATTAACATCATTTTTTCTCAATTTCCTTTCTAAATGGATATTTATGCTTGAAGAGTGGGAAGGGGAAATTATAAATTTTTTTATTAAAAAAAAAAGAATGAGAAGAAAAATAAAATAAAAAGATAATTATTTGTTTTAAAAAATAAATAAAAATGAAAAAAGAATTTCCATCATGCATTTTTATATTGGGCATCCTACAATGAATGCACAAGCGTCCACTAGTTCTGGCGGTGGCCTTTTGGCCACACTAGCCCGCTCCAATTTCAGACCTAAATAGACTTTGGTTTTATTTGGAATGACTTTCTTATTGTTTCTTAAAGTAACTTTTTAGTATAAAATTTAAAATTTTTGTACTAAGAAATTTCTTTAAGAAGTAGTAGAAAAGCCGTCCCAAACAAAACCACAGTAAAATGTTTGAACAATTTTGACAATTGAAAACCAATAGAACCTCTAAGATTAAATTTGAGCAAATTTGGCGTAATATTATTTTGATAATTTTTGTTCCAATTAACATGTTGATTTTTTGAAAAAGTTAAAATTATAATTAAGGTGATTTTTCTTTACTCGCATCATTAAGGGAAGGTCGATATTGAAATCCAAGGAGCAATCATGCATGGTAATTTTTTTTAAAATTATAATTTTACATGATTTTTTTTTAAACTTTAATATATATTTTCTATGGACATAAGTGTCAAAGTTAAAATAGGGGTAAAAGATAAGTCTTCAGAAAATTTATTTGATACACATGAATCTCATTGTAATATTCAAATTGGAAACTTCTAGAATTAAATTCTAGACCACCCAAATTTCTATTTCAATAAAATTATTGCCTAATTGAACATCTCGAGAAGAAAAACCTATCAACACAACATGTGATTTGATCCTAATCTTATTATTGAGCTTTAAAAATCTACTTGTGGACAACCAACTTCTATAATCTTTATAGCAAGAATTTGATAAATGCTCTTAATTGTGTATAATCCCATCTACTTCAATTGTGAGGACCTCTAGATTCTCATATCCTTTATTATTTAGTGAATTCATTCAATATAGCCAACCCTAATAATTTTTCTCCCCTTTAGAATTCACATAAAATTTTTTTTTGCTAAATTATTTTCTGAAAACATATTTGCATAGACCAGTTGCAAATGTTAGAATGTTCGCTCTATACTAGGGTTTTTCCCCTGCTTTAGCGTTCGCTGCGAGGATGGTCTTAGACTCTCAGCCGCCGGTTTTGCCTTAGGGAAGCTTCTATTCTATAGTCTTCAGGTGTTTTGTGTGTTTTGGTTTTCCTTTTCGACTTCAATAGCATCTGCCCGGCTTCATGACCCGAGATTTTTGAATGGAGCTTCTCCGGCACTCCTTGTCTGGGGCTTCTTCATCTTCGGATCATTTTCCTGATTTGAGTATTTCTTCTCACCGGGGTTTGCCAGCGTTGTTGATTTCGGAGGAGGAAATTTCCTCGCTTGCTGTGTCGTTGGAATTTGCTTTGGTTGGTCTATTTCCCGGAAAGCGACCATCTATTGATGGCATTCAAAAGTTTTTCTTTAACTTAAAACTCATAGGTGATTGTTTGGTCACTGTTCTTAACCATAGAAATATTTTGATTAAGCTTGTTAATGATTTTGATTACTGTAGAATTTTCTCTCATCGATCTTATTTTTTAATAACTATTATATGAAAGTGGTGAAATGATCCCCAAATTCGAATGTTGAGATTGATTCCCCGATTGTTCCTATATGGGTTTCGTTTCCCTATCTTAGGCCCCATCTCTTCTCATCTCAGATCCTCTTTGGGTTGGGTTCTCTATTTGGTCGAACTCTGAAATCGGACACATCCACTATTTCGAGTTCCCGACCTTCGGTTGCTCGCATTCTCGTGGAATTGGATGTCACAAAAATTTTTTTGATAAAATTTGGGTGGGTTCGCCTAATATTGGTTATATTCAATCTGTGATTTTTGATGACATCCTCCACTTTTGTATGCATTGTAATTCTTTAGGCCATTTGAGGAAGGATTGCATAATTTTTACATCCTCATTTGAATACTGTTTCTAAATCATTTCCTGGCTTTGTTTCTGCTCCGTGTACGTTGCCTGGGGTGAATTTGATTAATGCGGGTTCTGTTTTAACTGTTGGAGTTAATGCTCAGATGAACACTGACTTAGCTGCTATTGTGGAGAATGCGGAGTCTGTGGAAACTTTGGATGACTGGTGTGACACTTGTCATATGGTTTTGGCATCTGAGGAACCAGTTGTTGGTAATTTGGTCCCTTTCCCGTTTGTCCCAATCGAGTATGTAGCCTGGTGGTGGGGAGTGAGGCGTCTTTGATTTTTTTGGCTTCCCCTTTGGGCCCTTCTCATTTTGCTCCTTTGGTTGGAGTTATGCATTGTGATACTAATTTAAAGGCTTCCTTTTCTTGTGTGGATGCTGTGCATGAACAGATAGAATTGTCTGGGGAAGTGAATTACGGGGTGCCTGCTGACCCGGGGTTGGTGTCTTCCCCTACCCAGTCTTTGGTCCACACTAATGTGGTATCGCTTGTGTCTAATGGTATTTTGGAAATTTAACATCATTTATTAATGTTTAGATTAATGTATGTCTGCTAGTGAATTGAAGTCTCAGGTGGCTAAATTTTTTAAAAATTTTGTTTTGGTGCAAAATGATTGGCTTATTCTCACTGATTCCTCTTCGTTTGATGGGGAGGAGGATGAGGATTTGACGAATGTGAGGAGGTTGCGCCGGTTAAGCTTGCTGACCCTAGTCGTTCTAATGGTGGTAATAAACGTAAGAATAAAGGTAAAAAGAAATAGGCTCTGCCTCTTTTTTAATTGTTCTTCGGCAGTGATTTTTGTCGGCTTTGTGGACAATGATGAGGAAGCCCCCAGCTTCCCTTCGTGGATTTGGCTGGTTGGCAACCGAGGTGATTTGGACTTGTGCTTGGATTACTTGGTGGTTTGGATTTGGTGGACTTCTCACCTATGGATGGTCCGTGGCTGGTCGTGTGGATGGTGTAGGGGGCTTCCATTCCTGAGTCCGAGTTCGAGTTATTTTACTCTTTGTGTTTTGCCTCACACTATATGTATTGAGTCATTTTTTATGTTGTTCCAATGGCTGAGGGACATGGACTTTATTTTTCTTATGTTTGAATAAATGGTTTAGTTTTGTTAAAAAAAACATTCACATAAAATTTTTTAGTATTTTACAAATTTCTATCTATACATGTTGGATATTTATATACTGTTAAGATATTACATATTTTATTATTAGCACATAATAATATTATATTCATATTTAATCATAATTAAAACTTTTTAAAAAATATATAATAATTTATCTGCCATTTTTTTTTGCCAATAAGTAGAAGAAAATTCAACGAGTGTCCTAAAAAACAAAAAAGTAACTTGATGAACTAAATAGTCATTCAATAAACAAATATTTACATTAATTTATTTATAATTTAATTTTTAATGTCCAGCTATTTTTTCATATAAATATATAAGAACAAAATTAATAAATTTTATTCAACAAGATTCAGACAACCTCAACGTACGTTTTTTTCCCTTGTAAATTCAGACATGCGAAGTAGTGGCGCAGAGAGCTACGTGGCGGCAAATTAGCGGTTCAGACCGTTTAAATTATTACAAATGAACCGGTTTTCGCGCGAAACGCGTCCGCCACTCTTTCAGAACGACGCCATTCTCTTCTTCTTTCCTCTCATTTTTCTCCTCTTATTCTTCATTCTCTCTCTACTTAAGGGTTCTTGCAATTTGATTCCATCCTTCTTCGCCTGTATCGCATTCTCTGTGTCTGTTTTCGAATCCGCAAATGGATTCTTCGTTGATTGATTGAGGGTTTGTATTGAAAGAGTTCTCTTTTCAGATCATATTTTTCCTTGCATTTTGGTGATCATTGGACAGGAATTTTGATTGAAACTCTTTTGTGGTCTTCCTTTATTCGATGAATCTCTAGTTGCATTTCGTGATTTTGGGAATTGGTTGAAAAAGGCTTTTTTTTTTTTTCTGCAATCAATGGCTGCTTTAAGTCTCAATTTGATTGCTTAGAATTAAAAAGAGCAACGCATCCGAATGCAGTGTCCAAGTGAGGTGATTATGGGTTAATTACAGATTAACGTATATAATGTTAACATTATATATCATTAATCGGTAATTTGATCAATTAGAAAGATTGTTTTGAAAACAAGATGAAATGTGATAGTTCCAGCATTTGGCTTCCACAAATCCTCTTAAAATTCCCTAAGATGTAATTTTTTTCGATTCACACATAAAATAAGTGAAAGCAAAATCTTAAATTTGCAATCATGATTTATATCCACAAGCACTTAAATGATCCTTGATTTTTATTTCTCCTGAACTTTAAAATTTAAGAACGCTTAAATTTTCATTCCTTTGTCATATTAAATAAATCTGTAAACTTTGATTACAGGTTGATTTTGTTTGTGTTTTATCTTATAGGAATATTTCAACACTTGATATTTGTCAGATATTGCATATTTCTGTGAAGATTAGAACTGATCAAGGCCATAGAAATGAAAATAAGTTTCGGCTTGTGATTTGGTTGTGCATTGGAACAATTCATCAGTTTACATCCGAGGAGAATTTTAAGTTTGATTTTTTTGGTGATTCTGTGCTCCTGCAACGTTTGACCATGTCCTGCTGTGGAGGCACAGAAGAGGAGAGCTATGGTCCACCACCTAACCAGTATACAGCTCCACCTAACCGCCCAACTCCTGGTAATTGATTCATGCTGTGATTCTTAGTACATTTTTTTAGTGATTTTCTTTTTGCGTTATGAATCTCATCTTTGATTTGGTTGGATTTTCAAAGATGTTATTTTGAAAGTTCTTTTTTTTTCTAGCCATGTTTTTGAGAAAGTTAGCAAGAATCTTTACAAGGTGAATGTTTTTTTAATCTTAAAAAGTTGGAATGTTTTCAAGGTCCGTGGATGTTGATCAATGTCAGTTAATTCTGATGGTAGGATAAATTTATTGGAAGAGATGCGTCGATTCTTTGAGATATTGAAATAGGAGCGTTTATGTTGCAGATTTTCATGGAACACTTAACTGGAATAATGGAGAATAAAGATTCATAATGTCAAATCCAAATGATTGGACTAAGGCTATTAATAATAATGATGTTGAAGATTATAGGTCGGGTACTTTTGAGATATGTTATACTTCCTTCAAAGGTAGTCTTGCATACCTCCATTAGGGCATCTCTAACCGAAAAACCCATTTTCCACTCCAAAATGCAGTAAAATCATCTCCAATCGAACGTCATTTCTTCTTTGGCGTGCTTCCTGCGAAGGTAACCATCTTTGGCGCACTTTTCTCCTCTTTCAAGCGGCAAATCCCGCTATGAGTTTTTTTGGAGTAGGTGAACTGTCCAACGTCAATATTGACGTCGCACTATTCACCTACCGGAATTTGGCGTGTGATTTGAAGTTCGAATGGAGCAAATGGGGGACGACATAGGGTGGTATGGAGTTCGGTTGGAGATAGTCTAAACTGTATCCATTTGTTAGATTGAACCTAGATCCAATACTTTAAGCTTGGATGTTCTCTATAACTTAGACACGAGCCTTGAAGATTATAGGTCGGCTTACTTTATTGGTAAATTTTTTATGTGATATCTTATACAGATGCAATAACGCATTCATTAAATACTATAAATGGTGTGATCATATATTTTATCTTTATTTATATCAAATTAAAATGAGCACATCAGTTACATAATGATACTTCCCAATGTTAGAGGAGAGCATCCGACTGAAAAGTTATGGCTGTTATGTTTTTTGTATCTTAGGCCACGATAGGGAACCAAGAGGCCCCAATGCTGCCAGGAGTGGAGCTCCACAAGAGATCCTTCCTATTGAGATACCTGCCATATCCTTGGCAGAGCTGAAGAAATTAACCAGTGATTTTGGACAAAAAGCTCTCATTGGTGAAGGATCTTATGGAAAGGTTTTCCATGCCATTTTAAGCACAGGAGAATCTGCTGCAATAAAGAAAATAGATCCCAATGCATCTCAAGAGAGCGATTCAGAATTTGCTGCTCAGGTGAGAAGTTTATTTTATCTTTGTTACATGTATTGTTTTGTCTGGGTTTAGTGATCAAATCTATTTATATAAGAACAAAAGAGATTCAAAGAATGTTTTTATACTAATTTTATAGTTTTTTGGTTCTTGCAATGCCTATTCTTCCCTTGTTTTGAATTATAAACTGTAAGAAGGTTTATTTTTAATATTTTTCTTGCACTGGTTGATGCAGTTAGCAATGGTTTCCAGATTGAAGCATGAATGCTTTGTCCAGTTATTGGGTTACTGTTTGGAGGCAAATAATAGAATACTGGTCTACCAGTTTGCTACAAAAGGATCCTTACATGATGTACTGCATGGTAAACAATACTAACTTTTATTTTCTTCTGAGATACTCCATAATGTATAATATGCCAAAATGTTACTGCTCTTGGATAAGCTTTATTTGAGCTCTCATTTTTAGGTAGGAAAGGGGTGCAAGATGCTGTACCTGGCCCTGTACTTAGCTGGATTCAGCGAGTGAAAATCGCCTATGGAGCAGCTAGAGGTCTGGAGTACCTACATGAAAAAGTCCAGCCTTCTATAGTCCATCGTGATGTCAGATCCAGCAATGTTCTTCTCTTCAATGGCTTTGAATCCAAATTGGCGGACTTCACATTAACAAACCAGTCTCCTGATACTGCTGCTCGTTTGCATTCAACTCGTGTTTTAGGGACTTTTGGCTACCATGCTCCAGAGTAAGCTTGCTGCAATCTTTTTCAGTTTTCAGCACTACATATTACACTATATATGATATAAATTTTATAATGTTCAAGAAATTAAAAGAGTAGAAACTTTTGGCCCCTTGGTTTTTCCACATAAAAACTCTGGTTCTCTTATGAACACTACATTCTTTTTTTATCTGCTTGTGTGATGGATCTCCGTACAAAGCTAAAACATTAAATTTTATATTTCTCTACCGCCGCGAATACTCCAGGACGCAATTGTATGTTCATCGGCGAGAAATTGCAAGCCACATGCTTATATTTCCTTTTACATATGTTATACAGGTATGCAATGACAGGGCAGCTGACACAGAAGAGTGATGTTTATAGCTTTGGTGTTGTTCTCTTAGAGCTCTTGACAGGAAGAAAGCCAGTAGACCATACTATGCCTAAAGGACAGCAGAGTCTTGTAACCTGGGTAGGTTTTCTCATGTTGTGTTGCTGCAATATCAACATCACCTGATTCTCATTTCTGGCGCTGTAGGCAACTCCGAGGCTAAGTGAAGACAAAGTTAAACAGTGCGTGGATCTTAAGCTGAACAATGATTATCCTCCAAAGGCTGTTGCCAAGGTATGGACATGCTATGTGTATTTGCTTATACATTTAAGAAAAATATTATACTCTTCAAATAGACTCACATTTAAGTTGGTGGATGTTTTTTCTTTAAGTTGGTAAACTAATACCCTACTCTTATACGGTTATACCTCATACCAAGAAATAATGTATTTTACCAAAATATAAGATGTTTCATAAAGAAATATGGTATTTTACCCAAAAAATATTTATTTCTCCCAAACGTAAGGTAATGCACCTAGTTACTTTCTTGTAAAATGCCTTATTTATAAGAGAAATTTTTCTGTTTGGAGACTGGACGCAGAAAGCCGTCTGGAGACCAATCAGAATGTGCCGCGTCCGCAGTACTGAGCTACAATACCAAGCGGTACCGAGCAAGAAGTGACGTGGCGCATTCTAGTTGGTCTCCGGGCGGTGTTCGGCATCTGCACAGAATAATTAATCCAATGAATAAAAAAGTGAAACAGCAACCACTTGGCACCGACTACCGGTTCTTATGAGCAAACGACAGTCGATACATGACTCCAGAAATTGATCTAGCTATGTCAAACTGTAAACATATTTATATAAGTCATCCCCTGAAACAAGTTATAGTCATACATATTTTCTGAATCATGGAAAGTAAATAAGTAACAATAGTCATCATTAGCTACACAGATATGAGGAATATTTACTTTCTTTCACTGTGTTAAGTAAGATCAAACTCTGAAGAAAGAAGCTTTTGTGCTGACATATCTGAAATATTTGTTGATTACCCAGTTGGCAGCAGTTGCAGCGCTGTGTGTTCAGTATGAAGCTGATTTCAGGCCTAACATGACAATAGTTGTTAAAGCTCTTCAGCCTCTTCTCCATACAAAAGCTGGTCCAGAAAGCCATGCCTGACCTCAAACTATTCTTCTTCTCTTTGGGTTGCCATTCATTTTGTTCGATTAGGCTTGAAGCCTCTTCCTGTGTCGAATCATATTTTTTGGTTGAAACCCATTTGTTGGTTTTTTTAGTAAATTATTGTATTATGTAGAATTGATGAACTGGACAAAATGTCATGAGTTATTAACTTATTTTCTTGGAAACTATGCACAGATGAAGATCTGTATTGTAGTCATGATATTTTAGTAAATTCAGTTATGCCTATAAAATTAAGTTCTTTCATATTCGATTATGGTGTGTTTGAATTTAGTAGGTTAATATGATCTTTATTCATGCGCATCTTTAGCCTAGTGGTTGGGCGCTTTGGTTCACATCACAAGATCATTGATTGGATACTTAGGCTTCGTTTGGGACAGTTTTCTTCCTGTTTCATAAAGTTACTTTCTAGTACAAAAATTAAAATTTTTATACTAAAAAGCCGCTTTAAGAAGCATTAAGAAAGTCGTCCCAAACATAGCCTCATGCTTCATTTGAAACGGTTTTCTTACTTCTTCTTAAAACAGGTACAAAATTTTTAATTTTTATACTGAAAATTGTTAAAAAGCAGTCGAAGTAAAAAAGAAAAACAAAAAATGAGATTTTTTTTTGTGGGTGGAAGACATAGCTTTTTGGCTGTGAATTTTATTATCTATATACCACTATATGCTACATGCAACTTCACTAGTACATTTTTTAAAACTAGGGGCATTCTGTGTTTTGTGGCAAACTTGCCACAGAGTTGTTTTAAAATGCCGAGGTAGCAATTTCATTGGTCAATGCCTTGGAGATAATGGATGTTTCCAATCTTTGAAGCTAAATCCTTTTTAATATATATATAAACCCACGGAGGGGCAATCGATTAATAAAAGCAATTACAAATCTTAAGGAGAAGTCAGCTCTCTAAAAGAACAAACTATCAATAAAATATACGAGCCGATGTTCAACCAATTACAAGAAAGCAAAAGAAAACAAGCCAACAAAATAAAGGTAGCACAACATGAAAGGAACCCAAATCTCCAAGCCAGCCAAAGCACCAGCAAAAGAAACCCAAAGGTCAAGATCACCCTGCCACAAGGACTCGATCTGGAAATCCTGCATCCACCGAGTAGCAAGGATATGACCATCCATTGGCAGTAGAAAGCCACACAAACCAACTGAGAATCTGAGCATAGAGGAAACCACACTAACCACCAAGGTTGCCAACTCCAAGCCAACCCAGAGATAAGAAGAATTGCCTCATCATAGTCCACATATCAACAGAAAAGCCAAGTCAAAACAATCACAGAAAAAATCATTTTTTTCTCTTAGCTTTACTTTTAGGTCTCTTTCCTGCATCAGAAAAAAATGATCGTCTAGCCATAAAATTATACATATCTTGCGAATCTTGAAATTCATCTTCAATCGCATCAACCTCACCATCAGACACATTCAACCAATCAGAATGATCCACACAAGACTTACTCAAAAACAACGCTTGACGGGCATTCAACTCCTCATTAGACATGATCGAAATAGGAATATCAAAAAAACTTTTCGACATGACCAAGTTAACTGAAGGAATACCAACTTCTCCAATCACAACATCCCAACAAAATTCTTCCTCATCCTCAGCATCAACAATAGGAGAAGTAACCTGAGCGGGGGGGTGATGGGGAATTATTAACCAAGCTGTCATCCACAATAGTCTCAATACCCACAATCTCCAAATTGTTAGAGTTTCCCTCAGCCAGGCCCTCAAGAGACCAGAGCCAGCCTTCAAGAGACCGGAGCCGGCGGACTAACCTCACAGTCAACATCCATAGCTACCACTGGAAGAACCAACCCACCCAGCCTTCGCCTCAGTAATATCCAACGAAGAAACCACCACAATATTAATATTAGCAATGCCAGACGGAGCAACTGGAAGCACCATGGTAGATAGGTTTTGTTCAAAATCAATAACCACAGGGGAAACGACTCCAACAGCCGCCCCCTCCACAAGCATAACAGGAGAAGCATTAACCACATTCACCTCAGGAAACTCACACTGGATGGAAGAGGGTACAGGAAGGGATTTAGTAACAATATTAAGATGGGGATGTAGAATTTGGCATTCCTCTTTCAAACGACCTAAAGAACTACATTGCACACGAAAATGAGGAAGATCATCCAAAATTACCGACTGAATATAACCCGAATTCGACGAATCCACCAAAATCTTATCCGGATATTTTTTGGTGACATACAATTTAATAAGGATGCGAGCAACCGATGGACAGGAACCAGAGGTAGTCGCAGTACCAGTTTTCAAAGTCCTCCTGAACAAAGAACTCAAGCCAAAGAGAATCCTAGGCAAGAAAAGATGGGGCGTAAGATAAGGAAATGAAATCCATATGGGCACGATAGGAGAATCGACCTCAACATCCAAATTTGGGATCCATTTCATAACTTTCATATAACAATTACTCACAAAATAAGAATGATGAGAAAAGATCTTACAATAATCAAAATCATTGACAAGCTTGATCACAACATTCCTAGGGCTAAGAACAGTGACCGAGCAGTCACCATTGAGCTTCAAGTTGAAAAAGAATTTCTGAATGACATCAATGGAGGGCCTCCGGCCGGGAAACTTGCTAACCAAAGCGAATTCAAAAGGAGCAGCGAGCGAATTAATTTCATCCTCTGAAATCAATTACGCCGGCAAACCATGGTGAGAAAAAATTCTCAAATCGAGAAAAAGAACTGAACAACTAGATGCCCAAGACAAGGCATCTTTAAAAGAAAAAGTCGAAGAGGAACCATTAAAAAATCTTGTATCACAAAGCCGGGAAGACGACATCAAAGCCGAAAAAATAAAACCGAAACAAGCAGAATCGATAATAACAAACTAGAGAAGAAAGAGGACTTCCCTGAGGCAAAGCAGGCGACGGAAATCACCCAATGATTGATTTTATCATAAATATTAGAATCTCGTAACTTAAAAATAAAATGTAGCACCCAATGATTGATTTTATCATAAAAAATGTTAGATATGCAAAATGCCCACAACATTTCTTTACTCAAATGTTATGCAATAGATCCAAGGCCAATTCTTTTGAAGGAGCACATTGGCAAGGAAATTTAGCGAGAGGGAGCACGGACGGGAGCAAAATTTAAGACGGAGCAGATTCGTCGAAGCTATCGTTTGAACATTTGATATTTTGAATCATGTAATTTGCAAAAAAAAAAATATTTTTTTTCTTAACATTTGATTTTCTCAATATAACTTTCTCATTTGACTATTAAATATGCACTGTTTTCTAAATAATTTTTCCTTGGATTTTAAAAAATATTGGAAAAATAATCTAGAAGAAATTAGATTGATTTTTGAAAGTGACAAGCTTTTTTATAATTATTAAGGAATAAACAGCGACTAAATGCACATTTAATTAAGCAGCTACTTCTTAAATAATTCATTGAATAAAATATCAACACAAAGGCGGATTATAGGGAACTAATAAAAAAAAAATAAGGCTTTTATATATTCTTGATCACCATGCACAAGCATGCTTAGAGTTAGGTTTGAGTTGGACATCATTTGAACTTGTCCTCAAACTCTCTCTAGATGTATAGCTACTCCCTTGCATTCAGAAACTCTTTCCTCTTATGACCAACCACAACATTCAGTGCATTATATGATTCAAATGGAAATGCATCCTACGCACCATGCCATTTATGGTAAAAAATACAATGTCCTACATCAGCTATTGGTCTTTCAATAATCACCTGAATAAAACCTTCTTGATTGCATCCAATTTCATGAATTTTGGCCTTAAGAATGTTCATAGGAGCGAAATGACCACCATATGCTATGAAACTTTGTTGTAAAAATCTCCAACCATATCACTTAAATCTATGAGCCGACGTTCAACCAATTACAAGAAAGAAAAAAAAAAAAAAAAGCCAACAAAATAAAGTTTGCACAACATGAAAGAAACCCAAATCTCTAAGCCAGGAAAAGCACCAGCAAAAGAAACCCAAAGGTCAAGATCACCCTGCCACAAGGACTCAGTCTGGCAATCCTGCATCCACCGAGTAGCAATGATATGACCATCCATTGGCAGTAGAAAGACACACCATCCAATTGAGAATCTAAGCATAGAGTAAACCACACTAACCACCAAGGTTGCCAACTCCAAGCCAACCCAGAGATAAGAAGAATTGTCTCATCATACTCCACATATCAACAACAAAGCCAAGTCAAAACAATCACATAAAAAATCATTTTTTTCTCTTAGCTTTACTTTTAGGTCTCTTTCCAGCATCAGAAAAAAATGATCGTCTAGCCATAAAATTATACATATCTTGCGAATCTTGAAATTCATCTTCAATCTCATCAACCTCACCATCGGACACATTCAACCAATCAGAATGATCCACATAAGACTTACTCACAGACAACGCCGGACGGGCATTCAACTCATCATTAGACACGATCGAAATAGGAATATCAACAAAACTTTTCGACACGACTAAGTTAATTGAAGGAATACCAACTTCCCCAATCACAACATCCCAACAAAATTCTTCCTCATCCTCAGAATCAACAATATGAGAAGTAACCTGGGTGGGGGGAGACGGGGAATTATTCACCAAGCTGCCACCCACAATAGACTCAATACCCATAATCTCCAAATTGTTAGAGTTTCCCTCAGCCAGGCCCTCAAGAGACCAGAGCCATCGGACTAACCTCACAATTAACATCCAAAGCTACCACTGGAAGAAAACCAACCAACCCACCCAGCCTCCGCCTCAGTGATATCCAACGAAGAAACCACCACAATATTAATATTAGCAACGCCAGATGGTGCGACTGGAAGCACCACAGTAGATAAGTTTTGTTCAAAATCAGTAACCATAGGGGAAACAACTCCAACAACCGCCCCCTCCACAAGCATAACAGGATAAGCATTAACTAGATTCACCCCAGGAAACTCACACGGGACGGAAGAGGGTAGAGGAAGGGATTTAGTAACAGTATTTGGGGATGTAGAATTCGGCATTCATCTTTCAATTGACCTAAAGAACTATAGTGCACACAAAAAATGAAGAAGATCATCCAAAATTATCGACTGAATATAACCTGAATTCGACGAATCCACCCAAATCTTATCCGGATATTTTTGGTGACATCCAATTCAACAAGGATGCGAACAACTGATGGAC